ATCATGCGCACCATGGTATACTTACAACGGAAATAATCTGATATAGGCCGATCCAGATAAATACAGCAAAAGGAACAGTCGTACAGTTCCACATTATGGATAGCTCTTGCTCTTCAAAGATTGTATAGAAATTTAAGTAAAACAACAATAATTGTATAGATTTCATCTCAACTTTAAAGAAGTAAAATATTTAACAATATCATATATAGTAATAAATTACTTTATATACTATTCTAATATTATCAATTATTGCATATAATACAACTTAAATATTATTATGATACATATTCATTGTATTTATAATGTTTATTATAAGTTTCAACAATTCAATAAAATTTATTTAAGTCAATTTTTATGTGAACAATTATAGATAATAGAACAATATAATGCTAAATAGAAACTCTGCTTAAATATAATATTCATATTTTGTGGACTTCATTAACATTGTTGACAGATTCTCTTTCTCTTGAGGAGCACCCCTAATAATTTAACTGTTATATTTGAGCCTATAACCTTTATGGTAATTGTTACAATAATTGAGTTGATAATAGATTAGGAACAAGACTCCAATAAAATGAAAATCGGAGCAAAATCTAGAAACAAGAAAAAAAATCTTAAATAAAATAGCAAGATTATGTGAAATGTGGACTAAATAAGCCGTTGCAAATATTTTATTTTCATCTTTAAAAAAAAATATCTGGTGTTTCCACTCACATGACTTTCCTACCTATTTCAGAAAAGTTTTTATATCTTTACATATTTTCATGAAGAAACAAAAAAAGAATTGAACTACATTTTCCTGAAATTTGATCAAACATAAGATTTGAGTATGATTTATTTGATAAACTAAAGCAATGCAAACCGGCTTAAGGTAGATAAGTGTAAACATTTCAATACTTTCTAATATTTCTGATCAAAAACTTTTAGGCATAGCTTAGTATTGTCAAACAATAATTTCTGTTAAAAGTAAAGGAAATAGTGAAGATTGTGTGATGCGGGCAACAGATTTTCTTACTTTCACTTAGTCATCTTTATTCTCTCATTCACCCCTTTCTGACACCAGGATATGAAACCGTAATCTTACATTAGAAATTGAATAGCTGTAACTTCACGAAACGTATAGATCCGTTGAAAACCGCATGTCGGAAATTTGACCCGATTGCAATACTTTCCTTACCTAGTATAGGTAGGAAAGTAATAAGTTAAAAAAATGTGTAAAAAATAGAATAAGCTGTATCATCGCTAATACTGGTTCGATTCTGATGATTTTTTTTTTGTTTTGTTGGTAATTTAATTACCTTTCAAAAGTTTTATTATAAATTTTACTGTATAATATATACTTAGGGAGTTAGGCCCCATAACATTTTTCTTTTCTTTATAAATTTTTTTCCTGAATTTTTTCGGGAATTTAGTCTATATAGGAAAATTGAAAGAACAATGATTAGAACATTATAGAAAAGTTTCATCAAAATCGTTAGAGCCGTTTTTGCGCTACAGTCTATAGAAAAACATGTTTTTCATTTATTGCGCGCAAGCTATAGCGCATGGAGCACCGAATTTCTGTCACAGGCATCAGTAGTCAAAACTCTACAAAATAAAAAAAGAAGCAACAAAATCGGTTCAGTAGTTCCCGAGAAAATCTTGGCACAGGCAGGCAGACAGACAGACAGACCAATGGCTAAAAATGTGTTTTTCGGACTCCGGGGGCTCTGAAACGTATAGACCTGTTGAAAACCGCATGTCGGAAATTTGACCCGATTGCAATACTTTCCCTACCTAGTATAGGTAGGAAAGTAAAAATTGTTTTGACCTAATAGATCAATATGGCATATTTGGCTTTAAAAACTCAGTATTATCAATCAGATTTTTAAAAAATAAAATGCAGCTTTTCACAGAGGCTGCAAGGTTGATTTTTCTTCTAATTTCACAAGATGATAATCTTAAGAACTCGGCATTATATCTGATTATTTGATAAAAAATGGAGCCAATTAGAGGTTTATGAGAGACCATGTTATTAACCAAATTATCAAAAAAAATTCTCAATAAAATATTTTTTTCTATGATAAACTCAATGAAAATAAAAAATAATGATTTTAAATATAAGCAGTGTAATTAAAAAAGACTGCTAGAATTATTTTTATTTTGAAGGTCAGTTAGTTGAATTTGTTGTCTGTTATTAATTTCATTATGTAATTAGAAGGGGAAAATGATAATGACACCTTATTGAAAAAAAAAGTGATTTTTTTAAAGAAATATACTACCTGAAATATCGAGAAAAGAAAATGTCTGTATTCAATTATAGGTTAGTTCAGAAGAAATATATATTTTTAAATAATTTAATTAATTTTTACTTTATAATGGTTAAATCTTCAAGTTTTGCAACAAATTTCTCTGACATTTTCATTCAGAGTTTGGAAAAACTATTCGAAATTCTCTAATGCTTCCCAGTAATCAGTAATGTAATGAATAATATACACATTCAGATGGTGAGGAATGCTAAAAACTGTTACTGTATAATATTATCCCATTCATGAGGATAATTAATAATTGCAAAAATTAAAACGTTAAGTATATTGTAACTATCAACTTCTATTTATTACGCTTGCACAAGAAAAAATTAACATTCAGTAGGTTTATGTGAGTAGATAAGGGATTAGCTAATTTTAACTGAGATATAAAGTAAAGATTCTTCTTAAAAACTAAGGAACTATACAAATAGAAATGTTGAATACTTGTAAATGCAAGAATAATGACAATAACCCATTCTAATAAATAGTCACAATTTTAGTGGATTAATAGTAGACTGTCGTGAAAATAATGAAGAGGAGTTGGTTTTGGTGAGCAGTCACAAGTAAAAAAGTAAAATTAAATAAATTATATTTATTTATTTATTTTTTTTCCTACCCCCCAGGAATTTCTTGATTACAAATACAATATATATATAAATGTTATATATACACAAATTTTTCAATTTCCTTTTATTGCCTAAGGGCAATTATATTTATTACTTTCACTTACCTATATATGAAATATATAGTAAAGGAAAGTATTGGGATGGTGAAAATTTTCGAATCTTAGTTTTCAACGGAAATACACGTTTTGAGGTCCCCTGAGTCCAAATAACCAAGTCCCGCAAAATTGTCTGTGTGTGTGTGTGTGTTAACAGTCTAGCTCAAAAAACGAAAAGTCATACGAAAGTGAAATTGGATATTTAACGTTTTTATATGCCAGGGACGTTACAGCAACTTTTTCATCAAAATCAGCTAACTGGAAGTGGCACTTTATATCATGGTCTAAACACATTTTTACAATTTTCTCGAAAACGGCTCTAAAGATTTTGATTAAATTAATTACATCAAAGTAAAATTAATCAGTTTTAAATAAAATGTAGAATTTATTCTGATTGACGTTCTCTAATGGCTTAAATGGCTAATTTTCAATATCAGCTTCCTCTAATTTTTTTTATTTGAAACAATGGACCATTTCACATTGACCACTAATATAAAAGATAGTTAATTATATAATATGAAAGAATTTGATAACTAACTAAAGGAGAAATAATAGATCATAATGGAGAATAATTGTAATTGGGGAACCAAAGGAACACGAGCGCATCCGAGCTCGCCAGAAAGATTAGAACACGCTTCCATACGTAACATGAGCTTAATATAATATGGACTTTGACGATATTCTATAAATATACAAATGCGGTTTTCATAAATGCTATTGCTGGTATTATTTAATATATAATTGTGTGGATTACAGCGATATAATTATTAAAATTTAGGGTATTTATACCAATAGAAATATAAATAAATATGGCTTCTATAATTTTTACTTTCTCTTCCCCTTTGTCTGAAAATACGTATTTCTGCTAAGAAGAGAGTGGTAAGTGAAAGTTGTGTGACGCACCGCACCAGATTTTTTTTTATTTTTGCTGACGTTTCTTCAGTACCAGGTTCTGGCATAATCTTCTCCGCAAGACAAGATTAGACGGAAAGGAAACCAGTAGAACCATATTATTAAGTCATAATACTAACTTAAAAATTAGATAATTGATTATTATGTGGTCAACACAAGTATTATGATATAAAATACTTGTTCTAAATTAAGTATCAAGGAATAGTATAACAGTGCTCAGATAGATTAGTATCTGATTGCAGTAATGAATAAGATTTGTTGAATTTTTGGGATTAGATCCAATATAATAAAATGAACACTGAGTTTCAAGAGTCGAGATGCACGATGCACTTATTGATGACAGTACCTTATACAGGGTATCTCAGTCTTTAATGATCGAACTCTGAGAGGGTGATTTTAGACAAAATTTCCAATAAAAAAGTGCATTTGATGACTGGGACGGTCCGAGCGGAAAAGGAGTTAAGAGAAATTATGAGTTTTCCTTAAGGTAATCATGTTTTTTATTAAAGAAGGAATAACTCAAAAACTTTTCAAGATAAATAAATTCTAAGTACACGATCGTTAAGTAGACAAATTGTTTTTGAGAAAACTGTGATTAAACTTAGTAAGGTTGATGATAAAAGGGACTTTAAGGAGTTCTAATACGGCCGCTCAACTGTTGCAGTTGAGTTTATATTCCAAAAGAATGATAAAAAATATTATAATAACAAAACATCGAATAATGAAAGAAACATAATTAAAACAACAAATTTTTTAACAGCACATTTCAAGTTTCCAGTAATCTAGTAATACTATAGTGGGAAGAATTTCTTAAGGGAAAGAAAGCATTGCGGCCCTTTTTGCCAATCCTTGATGGCTACCTATAAGTTGCTGTCACAAGCTAACCGGAGTGGGAGTTCATTTATTCACTTCTTGGGGCTGTTGAGAATAAATATTAACTGACCCAGGAGGAATTCGAAACCACAACATTTTGAACCGGGTCCTCATTCCCGAGTACAAGTCCTCTGTCTAGCAGTATGATAAAATCGTATTTATTTCAGGCGCATATATAAAAAAAATAATAAGAGATATTTTGATTCTCACCTCTGTAACAACTTTTTGGCTTCATTGACTTCGACATCAACGCCAAGTTCTTTAAAGGCCATTATCAACTCCTCAAGATCCACCTTCCCTGAAAAAACAGAGAGAACGATAAATAAACAAAATAATGATAAAAAATTAATCGTTAATTTAAATAATGAGTACACAAATTGACAAGAAATAAAAATAATGTAGCTTGAGGTCAGTTTTGATTCATTCAAATAACTGTTAATGAAATATATCTACTGAAAAACACACACACATATATCTATATATATGAGTGGCTTCATATCAAAGATGAACATCTGTCATTTGCACAAAATGGAAGAAAAGTAAATTTTTGTTTTATAGGTTCAACTCAAACTGTTTCTGATGATTAAGAATGTTAAAGTTGAATCATTTTAGCTTTTTGATCACCTGCTTGGTAACTTTCCAAGCCTCGCAAGCATATAGCAGAACCGAACTAATATTTGTATTGAAGATGTGAAGCTTGGTCCCTCCATTTTTCCTTGTGATATCCACACTGGCCATAGCTGAGAAAATGCAATAACTCTCAATATCTTCAACCAGGGTCACCATACTCCCAAGGTAGCAGACTTGAGTAACCCTTTCAATTATTTAATCTTCTATAACAAGATTTTCCTGACTCTCAATATTTACTCACATCTCTTTTGTTTTAGTAGCATTTATTTTGAGGGCGGAACTTTGAGCTTCTCCTGCATATCACTGAAACTTTGGGCGAAATAACATAAGTTATCTGCAAAGTCCAGATTTTCGAGTCTTTCCATGAGCCTCTAATGAATATATTGAAAATATGGTGGCTTGAAACAATCCCTAATAACAGGTTCTGGTCTCGAACTGATCAAGCCCCGATAGATCAGATTGTTAAATGTCGGAAATGGAGATGGCTGGAACATATGCTTAGAAAGGAGCACAGCAACATAGGGTGGAATCTTCAAGGCCAGAAAAGAGGCAGATGGCTTAGAGAAACGTGGAGTACTCTAGAGAAGAAATTACACATTGCTGGTCAGGAATCACGGAGTTAGCTAAAGTTTAAGATGCAGGGCAGAAATTTGTGACGGCCCTATGTACCATCTAAGAGATGCTAGGAACTAATAAAAATAAATAATAATAATAGTTGAATCATGAAATAAAATCATCGGAAGAGGTTTAAATTGAAGCTATTTTACAGAAAATAGCTCTCAACTTTTTCAAAATGACAGATGTCCGTCTGTCTTTGATAATAAGCATCTCTCTCTCTCTCACATATATATATATATATATATATATATATATATATATATATATGTTAATTTAGAAAGTTTTTTTACTTAAGTCTCAGATAATCTATCTAAAAATAAATTTTATTCCATATTTTTATCTGAGCAAGTTTGAAACATTAGCTTTCATTTTTATGTCATATATAATTTTAGTAAAAAGTAAACCTTTAAAAATTAATGTCTGTCAAAATGCACTGTATATATTTTTAAATAATTTTATTCGTTATTATTATTTAATAATTTAAAATTCATTAATTGGGCCAAATAAATTTAATATAAAAATGTTTCTATTTTTTTTTTTTTTCTTTTACTGATAGTAAAATAAAATAAATCAAAAGATCCTTAAAATAAAATAACTAAAACAAATTCACAAATGTAAAAAAGAAAAATTAATATACAAACTGAGGATCAATGTTTTTATTTTTTAAATCCCATGTAAAGAAAAATTGAAATAATGAGCATTGAAGTTAAAAAATAACTAAATCTGAGCACAAATTCATAATTGTGTAAATGTTTTTAATGCATCATATATAAATCTCAACACAAAAATAAATTTAAAATCATGGATCTTCCCTGATCTTTTCTTAGAAACATGGGACTTGAACAAATGTATCTATGCTAATTTCTTAAAAATATTTTTACTTTCAAAAGATTATCAGAAAGATAATTTTCTTTTTCTTTGTTATTTTATTCCAAAAATGTAACTATCTCAATTCATTGCAAACAGTTAAAAGGATTCTTTTAACAAATTTAAGGAAATCAATACAGATTTAATAGGTCAGAAAGGATATACAGAGACTTATTAAATTACTTCGAGAACATTATTATTTAAAATTGATATACTGCAATGCAGAAAGTTGTGGTTCTTCTAGCTTATAAAAATCAAAGTATCAAAACTTGATAATTGTCTAAACTAAAATTCAAATCAAAATTATCACACAAGATAGTAACTATAACTATTACACTGAATTTCGTCTTGATTAAAAAAATATATATATATAATGAGCAAAAATAATGTTTTACACCATCGACCACAATTTGGCACTCTGATTTTAATAAGAATAAAATTGTTTTTAAAACTGATACATATTTTTTTCTAACAAAAGAGAAACTAAATTAATCAACAATAATAATTAGCTAATGTATAAAGCAAATATACTAGCTAATATAATACAATAATATAAAATTTAAAATATAGAAGCTAAGACCTAACTTATGAACTAGAAAAAAATTTAAGTTATAGTTAGAATTAAATGTAAAACCATAAATAATTTTCTTTAAAATTAAAAATTTATAGTGTTTCAGAAAAATAGACATTTAATAATACATTGAGATATATATTTACATACTAAAAGCTTTTCATACAAAACATTAATATTCAGCAAAGAAACAAAATCATACACACTAACATTTTATAAATATAACCATTATTTCAGAAATTGTATGATATTATTAAGGTGATTGCTGAAATATATTAAAACTTGGATATTTACACATGTATCATTTACCATATTTTTTATATAGTTATACTTCTAATTCTTTCCACTTTTTTTTCTTCTTTTTTTAGATAAATATCAAGTCAAGGGCATGGAAGCAAACTTTGAGTAAGATATTAAAAAAAATCATAAATTAAATACATCAAAAATAAATTCATTGATTGGTCCATCTATCTATCAAAAATTTATTGAATTCATAAGTAAAATATACTATACTGCATGGAACGTAAACAACCTTCACACGGGGTTCTTTCATAGAGGAATAAAATAATGCACCCAGACAAATAAGAAAGCTTGAAAAATGATAACATTTGTCTGATAAAATAGTATATGTAAAGGAAACCTTAAACTTAATGTCAACCTTGAAGTTTGATAACTTAATGTGATAAGTAACTGACACAGTTTCAAGAGCCATATACTAACCAACCATATTTCACTAATCTAATAATATACTGCAGACAATATTGATTTTATAGTAAGCTCGAGAATAAATGAAGCAACAGTTAACTTATCTCTACAGAATGAAAAAGTGGAAAATTAGGTTATATGTTAAAAATATTTATCAATAAATTTAATAACTACTTTCTCATGTACATACCATCTTTATTTCTGTCCAGGTGTGAAAATCCAAGTCGAAGATTTTTCTCGTGATCCCTAACATACTGAATAAATTCTGCCAGTGATATATCGCTACTTTTGTTAGCATCTGCCCTTTCAATGAATGACTGGAAATTTAAGAACAAGCTGTAGGCATAACTTTCTAGAAAGTAGAATGTAACAGTAGTCAGTAGAAAGTTGATTGAACCAAACTAAACATTTATTAGATGGAATGTAATCCACTATTATGAGGTATAACGTTTAAAACCGAAATTTAAATAATCAAGGGAGACTATCAGTTATAAAGGTAACAAAGAATTACCTGGGCATACCTATGGTGGAGACCAAACTCTCTCAAAGCTTCAGACAAATCGTGTATGTCTATTTTACCGTTACCGTCGACGTCGAGCACCTTAAAAAGATTTGCTAGTCTTAATTCTTCATCATGAGGCAATTCATCAAAGTAGTGAGGGGCTTTGCCGATGGTGGTGTCAGTCGAGATGGCGATATGTGGTTTGACCACAAGTTTCATGTCGGCTACCATTATTTAATCACTATACGAGAACAGATCTAAAATAGAAACAAAGAACTGTGGCTAGACATAACTGTAACACACACCGTTCTGACTAGCAGAGGCCGGGGACCTGGGTCAATGGGGAGAGCGTTTGCTATCAGCGCTATCTGCAGTTGGCTGGTTGCGTGGTATCTCGCTAGGCAGCGCCATAGTTCCCAGCCTCACTATTTAATTTACATTTTAAATATAATAAATATGTTAAAAACGAAATTAAATAATCACTATTTATTTTCTTTCAATTATTTCTCCTATAAATTTCATTTGCAAGATGTCACAATACATTTAATAAAAACACCAATAAAACAACCACTGAGATCATCAAATAAAGTTTTAACATTTAGTAATTTATAAAACTATAAATTATTTATTGATTATCTAATAATCAATCAATAAAATTTACGTTTATATCAGACAGTTTTTATGGCTGCATACATTAAAAATTCAACTGTTTGGTTGTAAACCTGATGATAAATTAGCAATGGCCAGAGTTGAAGAATGGTAATTATCATACATTTTTTATTTACTGATTAATTAATTCACTTATATAACTTTGAAGCTACATTAATTCAATGACTTGGAACGTTCCGAAGTTCATATGGAAATGAACAAACAATTGTATTCAATTACCCACCATTAGTTTTTATGTATAAATACTACTTTGCTTTTGCAACGGAATTAGCCTATTAATTATTATTTATAAGTTCAAGTTTCGAAATCTCTTTATATTCTTTAATATATAGATATATATTTGTATTTTATTATATATATATATTACTCATTTTAAGTAACACTCAGAAGTAGAAGAATGAAATAACCACACAACTGAGAATTATATTAATATTATAAACGTGACCCAATTTTATTCTAATTTCACTAAAATATTTATGGCCGATGAATCTTGAATTCCAATGAATCTTCCCAACCGACAATAAACAAGTTTTTTATCCTGGCAGATAGTAGAAAAATAGTTTTCGAATGGTAAATTTCCTTTCGCGTTTTACGTTTTAGAAATCAAGGAACGAATTTGGTTTCGTGTTCGGGCATAACTTAAGAGGTGTAAATCAATTAATATGATACATACTGCCGTTAAACCGATTTTTAAGAAAATTGTAGGAATTGTGCGGATTGATCAAGGCCGCGGAGAGAAACCAATGACGCAGAGGGCATATTTTCTAAGATGCCCTTCATATATGAAATCTACCACTGAAACGTAACCTCATAATTCATAATGCAAACAACAATACTCTGTATAATTGTCTGTTTAGAATCTATTAGGTACTTAAAGTTGTTTATTGATCAATAATCCAATTTCTTTTAGAGTAAATAAGAAGTAAAAGAATACCCGATTGCACAGGCGGATTTACGAGGGGGGGAGGGGGCTTTCGGGTTGAAGCCTCTCCAAAATGGTAAAATGTAACCATGTTTTATGGTAAAAAATATAAAAAAATTATGTCTTAAAGTATTATTGCCCGTTTAATTACATTTAATAGGGCTTCAAGAATCACTTAAACACCATTTCATATAGGTAGTTAGTATCTTTCTGTTTTTCCAACGTAATTATCGTTATATATATGAAAAAAAAAACTTCCGGGCTGGAGTCCCCCCCCCCAAAAAAAAAAAATTAAATCCTGGATCCGCATAGTGATCCCTAGCATATAAAAACCTTAAATATGTAATTTAACTTCCGTACGACTTTTCGCTTTTGAGCTGGACATTAACACACACACACACACCATTTTGCGGGACTTGGTTATTTGGCCTCAGCGGACTTAAAACGTGTATTTCCGTTGAAAACTCAGATTCAAAAATTTTCATGATCGCAATGCTTACCCTCTCTATATATTACATTATATACGTAAGTGAAAGTAATAAGTAACAATATTAAACTGTTCCTCAGTTTTGTGTTTTACGAAATCGTTAGTTTATTTCAAAAGGTATTAAATGACATTTTATAACCTTACATGACTAAGAAGTTTAAGTGAATTTTCTCTTTGCGTAATCAGAATATTTTGCAGTTGTAATTATATTTGACATTATTTACCGAAATAATTTTCACTTTTTGTAGATATTATAACAGAGTCGAAAATTAGGAAGTGTCTATTAGATAACTAGGTACTCATAATTGAGGCCATACAGTTACAAAAACAGTTCAATTTACTAGCTCACTATTAACAAATAGAAAACAAAGTAATGTTGAATTTTTTGAGAGAAACTTAAATGTTCAAATATAACTTTCTTTTATGAAATAAGATAACAAAAATAAAGGAAATATAAACAAATAAATTATCCGTCATAATTAGTAAAAGTGTGTTCATGATAACTGGTTGTCCCGTGTAAATAATTTGCATAGTAAATTGGTCAGTGATCAAATGACAATATAATAAGAAAATAAAATAATGGAACGTGTCATAAGATAGAGAAATCAATTTTTTTCCCCGGTGATTATAATCAAACAAGGAAATTAAAATTAATTCAAACCTTCATTCATGTTTTAAGTCAACATGTTTACAAATTACTATAAGTTGTTTCTTTGGTAATAATAGTCCGATTTCGATTGTTTTGTTTTTTTCTCTCGTTTTGTAGGGAATTTAGTAATCTTTTAAATAAACATGGGTGAAAACAGCAAAAAACTGTATACTTTTTGAGTAATTCGCAAATAAAGTTTATTTTCCTTCTTTAATTTTATGCCGGAATTTTCGGTGAGAAGACTATTTTATCCACCTGATGAAGAAGGAAATCTTCAAAATGATGACTCAATCTTTGGATTTGATGATGAATTTTGGAAGATATTGTAATCCACCGACTGTTGTAATCCACTGTTCCACTATTAAAGCCTAGCGAAATGTTTATATCAACTTTATTACTTTCACTTACCTGTATATGAAATATATAGTAAAGGAAAGTATTGCGATCGTGAACATTTTTGGATCTCAGTTTTCAACGGAAATACACGTTTTGAGGCCCTCTGAATCCAAATAACTAAGTACCACAAAATGGTCTGTGTGTGTGTGTGTTTACAGTCTAGCTCAAAAACGAAAAGTCGTCCGAAAGTGAAATTGCTTATTTAAGGTTTTTATATATAGGAATGTTACAGATACTTTTTCGTGAAAATCGACAGACACGAAGTGATACTTTATATCATGGACTAAACACATTTTTACAATTTTCTCGAAAACGGCTTCATATCAGTGTAAAATTAAGCAGTTTTAAATATAATGTAGTTTTTATTCTGATTGATTTTTCCTGACAGATCTGAAATGGATAATTTTCAATATTAACTTTTTCTAAAGTACCTTTAGTTTTTTTTATTTGAAATAATTGACTATTTCACATTAATCTTTAATATAAAAGATAATTAAATATAAAATATGAAAGAATTAGATAATTAATTAAAGGAGTCTTACATAGCCGAGCGTCACAGCTGTCTCATTCAAAAGTAATGTCTTAATAATGAAATTGAAAAAATTGATAAAATATATTTTTACTTTCCTACCTATATTAGGTAAGGAAAGAATTGCGATCGGGTCAAATTTCCTATATGCGGTTTTCGACGGATCTATACGTTTCAGAGCCCCCTGAGCCCGAAAAACATATTTTTAGCCATTGGTCTGTCTGTCTGTCAGTAATTTTCTCGGGAACTAGTGAACTGATGTTGCTTGTTTTTTGATTTTGTGGGGTTTTGAGAAATGATGCCTGTGACACAAAGTGGGTACTCCATGCGCAAATGTTGCTGCTCAATAAATGAAAAACACGTTTTTCTATAGACTGTAGCGCGAAAAAGGCTCTAACAATTTTGATGAAACTTTCCTATAATGTTCTTATAATTGTTCTTTCAATTTTCGTACATCAACTAAATTCTCGAGAAAATTCAGGGAAAAAAGTTGTAAAGAAAAATGTTTTGGGGCCTAACTAGCTAAGTATATATTCTATGGTAAAATTTATAATATAACTTTTGAAAGGTTATTAATACTCCAACAAAACCAAAAAAAAAATATTATCGGAATAGAACCAGTATTAGCGATGATTCAGCGTATTCTATTTTCTACACATGTTTTAATTTATTACTTTTCTACCTATACTAGGTAAAGAAAGTATTGCGATCGGTTCAAATTTCTGATATGTGGTTTTCGATGGATCTATACATTTCAGAGCTCTCTGAGTCCGAAAAAAACACCATTTAGCCTTTTTTTTTTTTAAGGCAATGAAAAAATTTATAAAAATCGTTTATTTCAGACAACTATTAACGCTGTTAAAATCTAATTCATTTTTTTTTTGTTTCTTGATGGACATATGTAATGATATAAAAATTTTCTGAAATAGGTAGGAAAGTCTTGTGAGTGGGCACAATCGATTTTTTTCTTCCAGAGCAATTACAGTCATTAAAAAAAAAAACAACTCAAAATTAAATCCTGGATACGCTACTGCTTGTAAATAATATACACTCGTGTGTGTGTATTTAGTTTAATCCCCTATTAAATTCCAATATCATTCTCTTATCAATCGGTTACATAATTGATATCACCGCATTTCTCATCCGGCAACAGTAAATATTTAGATATTTTTTTGTAAACTCAGCTTTCTTATGAACGATAACAAACATCTTTCTTCTTTTCCTCAGCAAGGAGAACCCCGTTGAAACAAAAATCTTCAACTAGCGCCGCCATTGCTTTTACCACTCATCACCCGCCTGGAATTCCAAGGCATAGGTAGTTATTATTGTTTCATCATAGATGGTCGGATGGGTTTGTAGTTTTGTTTTTATTTGTAAATGGCTTTCGTAACTTTATATATCCATTATTATCTTAACCGAGCCTCTTTGGAGGAAATATCTCAGAGGAAATATGGAATGTTAATTAAGAATTTGTTAATTTTAACCTTAATCATTATTTCATTTTAGTATTGTTAAACTTTCCTATAATCGTTATAAATAGAGCACGCAATATGGTAAGATGGTGACAACCAAGAAAATT